GTAAAAATTTAAACCGCCAAATCGATTTACAACCATCCGCTAATCCGTTCAATCTGCCAATTCGACGAACGGATGTAGATTAATTTTTTTCAATTTGCTAATCTGGCAGACGAATGATAGATTAAAAGTTTTCTGACTACAACCGAACCGCAAACATCCCTAATGCCATTAAATAGGCTTTGTTTTATGGGGTAATTTCATATTAGCGGAGTTTGATAAAAATATTTCTAAATTAGTAATAAAATTATTAACATTAGAAAATAATAATAATAAATTTTTTCATGGATTCATAATTAATTTTGAAAGACATCTCTAACAAGTAAATTCCCTTGTTATTTTTTTTTAAATGGCCCCGCCCACCTAATATACTCTTCATTTTATTTTATTTTATTTTATTTTTCCTTCTGTGGATGCTCAACTTAGCTCTAAGCCACCTTTGACAGTCGGCCCGTCACTACTTCCAACAACCCCCCCTCTCTTTCATACTTATCGACCACTCCTTACGCCTTAAATAGCCCCTCCCCAACCTTACTTATTACTTTATCTATTTTTCCTACATCCAGAGCTGAGCAAAAAAAATCCGGATAATTCGTAATTCAATCTGGTTTAGTTTAATTTGATAGATTTGAATTGATTTTTTAAATTCGTAATTTGATTTTGAATTAGAAATTTATAAATTTATAAGTCACGGATCGATTCCGGATAGAACTCTACGATTCTGGAAGTCTTTTCTATGTTATTTGTGATTTGCCGGAAATTATATCACGCCATCAACAGAGTTTGGCTTATTCTAATGACATGTCCGACGGTAACATAGTACTTTGGCTTATTCTAATGACATGAAATGTTACTAATTTTCCCTCCTTAATGATCGTGCATTATTTATGCCCACATTTTTATCCACAATCAAATTCAAAAATAGAAAATGAATGAAGAAAATAGATTATAGTATCAAAGACTGCTAACCAGACAAGTTGAGTTAATCCTATTGATCAATTTTATTTATCAACATATTATCAAATAATTAGTACGATGCAGTTTATTATAAATTTAAAATTAATAATCATATATATATTATGAACATTTAGAATAACTGACCAAGTAACTTGTATCGTTAAATTGAAGGAAAAATAACATCACAGTGGATATAAAAAAACATATTACAAATTGTGGGGATATATTTTTTAGTACCAACACGTGGCAAGGTAACGCCGACGTGTCAGCCGAGGTGCCACGTGTCCTGGTCGATATGCCGAAGTCATCTCGGTTAGGCCGAGGTTATCTCCGAAGATATCGGAATCCGAGATAAGCGGATAAGAGATAAGGGACAAGAGTCCTAAAATAAAAAAGAGACTTAGCCAAGATAAGGATAAAGCTCTTAGAAAGTTTATCTTTATCTCTTGAGGAGTCCAAAGTAAGTACTGAACAGGAATCCATAGAAGTCAGGCTTCTATTGGGATTAAAATTGAGGTAACTATAAAAGAGAGGTACCCCCATGGGTCTAAGGTACGCAATTTATATTCTGTCTAATGAGTTAAGCACTATTGATTATCTTTGAGAGATATTGAGTACTGACTTGATTGTCGGAGTATCCCCGGGTGGCGAACCACCACCGGAGTCTTCTCTTTCTGTTGTAGGTTAGTCAGGTGCCATCTATTCTGCCGGTGTTCTCCAGCTGGATACTAAGATTGCAGTGTGGTCAGATTTTCAGTCATACAATTTGGCGCCGTCTATGGGAACGAAAGTAGAATAGATGCCAGTAACGGACAGAAAGAAAAGGTTGGGGACGACACTTCTACTGGGAGTGGGAGACCAATTGACCTTGATATCACAGGAGACGAATGCAATGCAAAAACTCGTGACCAGAATCACGGAGCGAAAGACATGGGCCAAACTGGCGACGCACCAAAGAAACCAGATCGAAGTGAATACTACAAGGAGGACGACCTCCAAGTTTGGAAGGATAGGTGTCTACGGAGGGACGAAGAGGTAAAAGAGATGGCAAACAAACTGACAGACCTGCAGTCGGTCATCAATTTCATGATGCAAAATAACGTCATGCAGCCACCGTTCTCGCTGCACGACACGCCGATCCCAGCGGCCAATACCCAAAAGGGAGGGTAGAAAATAATCCTCGTAGCCCCTCAGCACAACGGGAGCGAGAGATATTCTCACCAACCTTCTAGGGAGGTCGGACGAAGAGAATCAAGAAGAGAAGAATCACGGAGGACGCATCGCATAAAGGAGGCAGACCCCAAAGGACATCGGCATGTTCAGGGACAAGGGCTGTGCTTCGACACAACTCATGGAGAAGGGTCGAAAAGGGCTCACCACGAGGCCGAGAGTAGTATACCGAAAAGATTGAAGTCGAAAGATAGCCGAGCTCCTGGGCGGAGCAAAGAAGACTTAAGAGATTACCTCAAGAGGAAGCAACAGAATGCCGAAGCCGAGGTAACCTCCCCAGATAAGCCGAGGACACCATTCTTGGTGGAATTGGACAGGTTTGAGGCACCCAAGAGATTCAGTATGCCGAGATTTCAAATATACGATGGTAAGTCAGACCCCAACTTCCATGTTGGACTATATTTGAACTCAATAGCATTGTATAGTGGAAACGAGCCGTTGCTCTGCAAAGTGTTCCCCTCATCCTTCGGGGAGATTGCATCAGATTGGTTCCACAAATTACCAAAAGGAAGCGTGAGGACTTGGGAAGGCCTGGCCGAGATGTTTGTGGCTAGGTTCATGACAAACAAGCTGCAGCCATTAAGGGTGGACGGTTTGATGGCTTTGAAGATCAGCAAGGATGAAGGCCTTAGGGCCTATGCAAAAAGATACTATGAGGTGTTCAATTGAATACTCGAATGTAATCAAGAGGTGGCAGTCGTATCTTTCAAGAACGGCCTGAAAGACAACTGTCCACTATGAAAGTCTTTGGCAAAGACATTGCCAAAAAGTATGGAAGAGCTCATGGTGAGAATCAAGAAGTACACCAGAGCCGAAAAAGACACGTCGGGGGCTAAGGAGATAAAACAAGAGAAAGGAAACGGCTTGCCGAAGCGAGGCCGAGGTAATAATGGATCGAGCAAACAAGAAGCAGAACTGAGGGCCACACAGGCAGTAACAACTATGTTCCGAATCCCGATTTACAAAGTCCTGGATCAAATTCGGAACCAACCCTATTTCCGAACGCCAGAGAGGACTCCAGGAGAGTTTATGGGAAGAAGCATTGGCAGACATTGTGCCTGCCACAATGAAGATGGGCATACAACTCAGGGTTGTAGAGCCCTGAAAACACATTTGGAAGACCTAGTGAGACAAGGACATCTGAGAGACCTTGTCGATGAGACCAAGACAAGGGAAGAACGGGCAAGGTTGCCTCAGGCACCAGTAGCCCCACCTCCCCCAACACAGTAGCCGCAAGCAGGAGGACCTCAGGTAATTAACGTAATCTACTCGAAGGTTAACGAAAACGAAATCCGAGGAGAGGAAGATAAAACACCTACAACATGTCTACCAAGTCAAGGAGAAAAGACATCGGGCAGAAGAGTGCCAGGGACCAATGATAACCTTTACTGAAGCCGACCTAGAGATGGTCCAACATCTACATAATGATGCCTTGGTAGTATCCCTCCAGGTTGAGGAGTGCCAAGTGAAACGTATCCTGATTGACCAAGGCAGCTCCTGTGACATCATGTACGTCTGATGTTACAAGGAGCTCGGCCTTCACCCAGATGATATGGAACAATCCAATGCCCCAATGGTTGGGTTCAATGGAACGCCAACATGGCCACTGGGAACAGTAAGCTTGGAGGTGTAGGCTGGCACTAGGAAGATCAAGATAGAATTCACCATCATCGACACACCCTCCCCTTACAACATCATCTTGGGAAGGCCATGGTTGCATACAATGGGGGCAGTTCCCTCAACATTGCATCAATTATTGCGATTTCCCACAGAGCATGGGATAGAAGAAGTCAGAGGTGATCAGCTGCAGGCGAAGAATTGCTCCATGGCAGCAATGAAATCTACCTGCAGCATACGAGAGCCAGAAAAGACAGAAATTGAAGATAAGGACTTGGAAGTCCTAGAAGACGTCGGCAAGGAGCCAGTTGAGAAGAGCGAAGAGGCACTGAAGAAAATCCTCGTCCAGGATGGGGATGAAGAACGCTTCTTTCTTCTCGGCTCGGGCTTAGCCAAAGAAGAGAAAAAAGAATTGGAAGCTTTTTTTAGAACAAATATTGAAGTGTTCGCTTGGACACCTTACGAAATGCCTGACATTGACCCCGAGGTCACTTGCCACAAGCTGAATGTTGACAGGTCGGCCAAACCTGTAATTCAAAGAGTCAGAAGACCGACATTAATGCATGTCGAAGCAGTAGAGGAAGAAGTAGACAGACTTCTAGAAGCCAGGGCCATTAGAGAAGTTCACTATCCGACATGGCTATCCAATACAGTGGTGGTAAAGAAGAAGAATGGTAAATGGAGGGTCTGCGTAGACTTTACCAGCCTCAACAAAGTCTGTCCCAAAGACAGCTTTCCTCTACCCAAGATTGACCAGCTAGTAGATGCCACTTCAGGGCATGGAAGAATGAGCTTTCTAGACACCTACAGGGGGTACCACCAGAGTTTTATAATTTACACACTTCAATAATCAAAATATTATATTTTTTTATAATTTTATAATTTTTTTCTGTGATATTACTTCTCATAAATTTAAGAATAAATTATACTTTTTCCTTTCATATTTGACTATTTTCTCATTTGACCATTAAAATTTATTATCCTTGATGTTTTGAAATTTACTTCTTAAGCTAATTTGTGTTGCTAAGGTCCAGAGGCCGCTTATATAATTTGTATTTGTATTTTTGTAATTATTGTCATGCATGTTTATCGTTGTGTGGTTGTCCAAGTCTAACGGCAAAGTAGAAGCGTTTAAAGTGACGAGAGGAGATGTTCAGAGAGAGAGAGAGAGAGAGAGAGAGAAATATTTCCTCATCATGATGTCGGCAGCTGCACTAGGAGTCTTGGCGGCTCTCCATGGTCCGCCAACCACTGGAGTATTGAAACCCAAACCCAAAGTTTCTGCTACGGACCGGCGATCGATTCTGTGGACCGAACAGAAGACGAGGGATGGGTCAGAGAAGGGAAGGTTGGAGAAGAAAGCACATGCACATGCACATGCACAGCAGCCGAGCAAGGGATTGGAGGAGGTGAAACTTGGTTTGAGTATACAAGATTACTTGGAGCGTTCCAAGCACATGATCAGATCAGATGACGGTGGACCGCCTCGTTGGTTTTCTCCCTTGGAGGAGGACACTACTGGTTCTCCTCCCCCCTTAGACGACGACTGTCCTCTCTTGCTATTTTTACCCGACCACTTTCTTTTTTCCCCCCGCTCTTGTTTCTGCTTTTCATTTATTTTCCTATAAAACAAACACTACCCTACCATAATTGTAGGGTAGCGTTATTGTTCTGAGAATATGGTTCGAGGGTAGCATTATTGTTTTGAAAAGATGGTTAAAAGTGAATTTTTATTTTTTTTTATGAAAAATATGAGAGATGATACAATTAAAATGAATTAAAAACTGGTGGATGATTTCAACTATTTTTTAAATAATAATAATAATAATAATAATAATAATAATTATTATTATTATTATTATTATTAATGTTGTCAATTTATTATTGCCTCTATTTTCACCATTTTCTTTTTGGTTTGTTAATGTTAAAATTAAACTTGATACGGTCCATTATCATCATCGTTGATCAAATCGATAATGGTCGGATCATTTTCATTATTATTTATTTCAATTACTGTGTTTGAATCATGACTTATTTAGATAGTAATTTTAAAAAGAAAATAAAAGAAAGTGAATTAAATATGAATGTAATATAAAATATAAAAAATATATATTTTTTATTTTTATATTTCTCACTCTCATCTCTATCTCTATCTCTATCTATCCAAACACAGCCTCATTATTAGCCTTGATAGCAAGAGTGACTTATCAATTTTCATGTGTCAAAGCATCTCCAACGCTTTACTCAATTTTTTTAATCAAATTTAAGTAAAATTTGATAAAAAAAAAAAGCTAGATTTGATATCACGCGTTCTAACGGAGTGATTTGAGCTTTTATCAAAACACTAGTCGATCGGGTGGACGACTGGACGGATGTCCTGCTGGTCGACCGGCCAGTGTAATTTTTTTATAAATTTTTGCATGGAAGTGGTCGACTGGGAGACAATCGGCTGGTCATCCAATGGTGAAAATGACTTATAGTTTCAACGACTATGAATAATAATTTGATAAAAAACACATCCATCCTCAATTTGATAAAAGACTTGAGAAATTTTGGATTTGATGAAATATTTAGTGCTAGGTTGGAGCGCACCAAAAGGTAGGTTTTTTCATTAAATTTAAATTTGATGAAATATTTGGTGTTGAGGTGGAGATGGTCTCACCAACTAATAAAAAATTATAAATAAAATTTGATGGACAACTTTTAGTCTCTGATTAACCGAATCATAGAATACTTAACAATTGACTCCATAAATAAACTCCATAAATAATTTTTTTTTGCAAATTTTAAAAGTTGTATAAAGTTATCAAAAAAGTATGAGTCTAATGTCACATGATAATAAGTTAATTTTGTCACTCCATTCAGATCAAATTTAGTTCTTAGATGTTTTATAATCTTGAGATGAACTATGTATTTGGAAACTACACGTTGCATCCTAACTTTTTTTTATTATTTTCCAATATGTAAATATTACATGCATGTGTCCGTGCCAATGCATATGTCTATGCATATGTACTAGTGAATTTAAATAAATCATTACAGAATTTGTATTACACCACATAATGCGTTTGGAATTCCTTTCTCTTCTTTTCCATTTCTTTCTTAATCTTGCCTAACAACTCAAAACTTGTTTGTATTTGATTTGAATTTTCCAGGAATTGATGGTGTTGGACTTGGACTTATTTTGCATCATCAAAGACTTGGACAATAATTTTTGATACTTACTGATTCAAATTCTCTTTAGTATCAGTATCAGTGTCACTGTCAATGTTAAGTTCTCATTAGATTCACCATCATGGTATTATAATTTATAGTGTCACTATCTGAGTGATTATGCTGCCTAATTATTATATTTATATTTTAAATGAAGGATTTTTGATATATGGTGCTTGAATATTTCCATTATGGATCGAACGACATTTACAGTTCTCTTTCTCTCTCTCTCTCTCTCTCACACACACACACATGCATACATTTACTTAGTACTCAAGTATTCATCAGACTAGACACAGTAATAGCATGAGCATCAGTGGTTTTGTAAAGGAAAGAGCTTTGACACAACTTTGTCTCTTTGCTGATGAATTGTTGACCACTGAAAATGGCCCAACAATGAATATGAAATTTTCCAACACACTCCTTCACTTGCAATCCCGTTTTGCTTGTGGAGTTGCAAATAGACATACATAGAGAGAAGCATAATGCAAACAAAAACAAATTTAAATGGAGAGACTTGAACCCAAAACCTCTCCCAGTCCGAGTTCTAATATAATGTTAAATCACCAAATGTCCAGAAAGCTTAAAGTTGTTAGAGAGGGATAGTTTTATTATTTATATCCTCAACAACACACCACTCTCGTATAACTAGATTCTCTTTTATAAGCGGCCAAACACACGCACGTATTATAATTATTGGGTAGACAGTGAGTTTTGAACGCATGATCTATTGCCTACTCTGATATCATGATGAGTTGTTAGTCATCATGTCATCTTAAAGCTTAACTAAATTTTTCTGAGAATGTCAATAAAGCTATCATGGGAAAACTGGGCCTACAATGCCAATATTAATCATTATCTCATGAAACGAAAGATGACCTGATCAAAGTTGAACAAACTTTGAGGTGCATTTGGACCATGGAGATTGAATGGCCCATTGCATGGCATTTCAATTTAGGTATCTGACATCTTGATTGGAGTCATTAAGGAGTATGGGGACCATTTGAAATGATGATTTAAGAATAAACAAAATAGAAAATTAAACCACAATTCCTAAAAATGAACTTATATCATTGGGCACGGCAATTTCTCTCTTCCTTCTTCGATTTTAGACTTTGAATTGAATCGTCACTTCAAATGTTTCAATTAATGAAATGGGGGCCATTAAAATCCTCTGTCATCCCAATACACCTCTAGTTTGTTTGAATATTTAAACCATGCTCATGCTTTTATTTCTAACCATGCTCATACTTTTATTTCCAATATGAAAATATTTTGGTGAACAAGATGCTAATTGTGGCTTTCAAAATTTTATGGTTTAGACCTGGTGAAGCGTGTTGAAGGAACAGTTAGGTCAGAGAACAACCGTTCACCAAACAGACCCATAGACCTTGTTGAAGAATCCATCGGAGGATGCCTTGCATTAGCTGTTGCTGCTCAGAATCCAGATGTCGATCTTATGTTGATTTTATCCAATCCAGGTGAGAAGTTTGATTCATTCATATCATCATGTTAATGGGAGCTCCGACCTTCAATTTATTCCTTCACTTTTATTGTCCTTTTACCTAACGTTCTCTTAGCAGCTACATGTTTCAAGAAGTCGCCACTGCAACTTCTAACAACTTATTTGGAAATCATGCCTGAGCAGCTCCATCTTAGTGCACCTTATATGCTGTGCTTAGTAACTGGTTTTCTTTCCTTCATTGTCATGATTTCCACAGGTTTTCCTTTGTTCATTATCATGATTTCCACTCTAGCTTTGCTATTTGCGTGATGATTTCCACTCTAGCTTTGCTCATTTCATGATTTTGATTTTTTATGTTCAGTTAAAGGTGGCAGACTCACAACGTGCCAGTTTAGTTTGGTCCAAAGTTTTGGTAAAAGATCTGTAGATATTGGATATTATGAAAATGTTGATAGAGTTCAGTTAAACACGTTAATGTTCAAAACAAATATGCCAAGATAAGGTGTAATTTTTACCTTTACTGTTGTAAATTAGTGACTATACCAAACTCCAGAAGTTTACTCAAGTTCTTATCATACCTCTAACCAAATCAAATTAACCTCGTGTCCCAGTCAGGTGGGGTTGGCTACATTTTTTTTTTTTTTATACTCAAATTCTCATCATACCTCTCAGGCTTTAAATATTTATTTTTTCTCCTTTCGAAAATTCTTTAATGGTAATGTTCAATCCATGGCACAATAACTACAATAAATATTTATGAACCTAACCAAGCATAACCTTTCTTGCACTAGTTTGGTATATTAAGAACGCCAGATAGAACATAAAGGTTGAGCTTGGTTGGCTTGATTGTTGAATAGGACCAAACTTAATGACAAGATGAGCTTGAGCTGTGTATTTGGCACATAGATCAGGTGGTGCAATCGTTGCCTTTCTTTGAAGATGACAACAAAAAGTACATAATTAAATACGAAGTTAAAAAATGCACATAATTTGAAGATGCACTTAGAAAACAGGCATCATAGACCACATTGACATTCTGAACCTTTGGTACTAACAGAAAAACCTATTAATAGATTCATATGTACATATTGATATACATATATATATATATATATGTATGTATTTATTTCTATGAGATAGATTTCAAAACAAGAAAGTTACAGATCAAAAAAACAAAAATTCAAAACGAGAAAGTCATTTTCTTCTGATGAAAATGGATATAAGAAACTAATTTTCTTCATGCAAATTATATATGCACGATATTTGCGCAATCAAACCAGCATTTGTTACATTTAGGTATACCTTTAACAATGGCGATGGCTACTGTGAAGAAAGGATTTTCTCTGCAAAAGAGAGTTGGGGAGCTATCATATGGTTTAATGGCATTATCATCTTATCTTTATGTAAGATTCAACTTTTGTATGTGAATGGATAAGGAACTATGATATATTTTCTTCTATTTAAAGGATTGTAATAGAACTTGTGCTATAGATTGGTCATTACATCAAGGACACCTTTCTAGGAATCTCTTTTGATGGCCTTCTCATTTCAATACATGAAAAAGTCGTGTCCCTTGTCAAATTTGTCAAAATTTATAATGCTCATTTTTGACATGGATGTGACACCTCTCTCTATGTTATACTTTCTATTAAAATACTGAGCGTGCATTGCTTCTGTAGTTTGCCTTCTGTTCACTTTTTTCTGATGTTCTTTCATATCTATGTTTGAATTATAATTTTCTTAATTTATGGTGTCAAAATTGCAAAGGTGATGATGATTAACGTCACAGGTTCTGGCTGATGTTTTACTTAGAGAAACACTTCTCTGGAAGCTGCGGATGCTCAGATCAGCTGCAGCATATCCTGTTGGACAATCTTCACTGTATTTAAAAAGATTTAATTCTGTTGTGTACAAAACAACAACCAGAATATAAAGAAATAAAGAAAAGGAGAGAATATGTTTGATTACAAAAATCAAACTCGAAATAAAAATAAATAAATAAAAATACCAAACTTGAGGAAAAAATAACCATTTCCAACATATGCGAATTCACGTCTCCATGCTGTCAAAGCACAGACATTAATACTTTCCAAGTCCTCACTTCAACCTTTCCTATTCGAATTAGATGGGGGATTAATTATTACTCATTCATTCTTGAGATTAATTTCCACTTTAAAAAAGCGCATTATCTATGGAAAATTCAATGTCGTCCAAGAAGCATAGACACAGGCATGGACACGGAGACATGACACCACATGGAATTGACGATATCGCACTACAAGAATTCACACATTTGCCGACCACTTTTGCCGACCAAAAAAATTTTGGTCGCAAAAAAATGACATTTAGCGACCAAATATTAATTAGTCGCGAATGATCATTATTTTTGGCGACCAAATATTATTGGTCGTAGAAGGTTATATTTTGGCGACAAAAAAATGAGTTGGTCGCAGAAAGTGGTATATTTTTGCCGACCAACTACAAATTTGGTCGCGGAAGGTCACATATGTTTTGGCGACAAAAAATTTGGTCGCGAAAAACTTATTTTCCGCAACCAAAAAAAATTAGTCGCCAAATTAATACTTTTAGCGACTAATATTTTAGTCGCCGTTGATTAAAATTTAGCGACTAAAAAAATTTGTCGGCGAAAGAACCTGTTTTTGCGACTAATTTGATCTTTTGGTCGCCAAAAGTTTGGGGGCAAATTTGAAACGTGGGGCGGGAATTGAATTTCAGAAAAAAAAAATTTAAGCCCTGATCTTCTTCGTCTTTATCTAAAAAAAAAGCCCTAATCTGTGTCTCTTTATGTTGGCCCGCCCCTCCCTCTTTCTGTGTTCTCTCTCTCAATCGGTGCCCACTCTCTCTAGCTCACCGAAGTCCCTCACCACCATTGCTCACGTCGGTCGCACGTCGCCACCGCTACAAATCGCCATCGCCAATAATTTTCTACTTCACACTGTTGATGCATCAATCGAACCCAGATTGGGGTAATTTGGTTTAATATGGTGATATGTAATAAGTTTCTCCTAATATTGGATCTCTAGTAATCAATTTCCTTTGTTGAGAAAGAACCCAGATTGGATGTCTCTCTCTCTTTCCTTTCTCTTCATCGGCATCAATTTTCTTCCTATGAACGAAGATCAATCTAAAACGACGACATCGATCGCCTCCTTCTTGTCCATTCCGATCTCTACTCTCTCAGTCACTAGGTAACTAATTCGCACTTCTAGAGAGAAATGAGATAGCAATTTCATATTTGATCGAACAATGGTTTGAAGAAAATTGATTCACCGAACTGCATTATTCTCTCTCTCCTTAAATTTTGTCACAAACTGCATATATATATATATATATATCTGCTACGTGATCAGAAGGAAGACTACAGATGATTAATCTGCATATATATTAATCTGATAGATTTTACGTGATCAGAAGGAAATTGTTTTCACCGAGTTCGACGTCTTTTTCGTGATACAGATGATCAATTGCTTCTCTTTCAACCTCTTGGCCTCTAACCTAGGTAATAAATTCCCACCTGAACAATTTGATCTCTTGTTCTTGAATTTCACAACGATTTCAATTCGTTTAGGGCTTCACATGTTTATTAAATCCATATTAGTGTTGTTGGAGATATGGGTTTTATTAGATTCGTATCAATTTTGATTGGATTCGATGCTAAATTGAGGTTTGATTGAGTTGTCAAGCTATTACAATTCAAGTATTAATGCACCAAACCAATTGATGGTTTGAAAACACCTATATGGTTCCTGGAATTGTATAATGCATACATACTAATGAAATTTTTGTAAGAAGTTTATGCATTGGTTCTAGATGTGTTGAAAGGGTACAGTATAATGGTTCATGATTACAAATGGGTGTGACTCTTTTTTATTTTATTTCAATATCTGCATACCATTTGGAGTGGTTAATTATCTGCAGATGTACTGCCTGTCTGCCTAAAGTACTGAATTTTTATTCTTATGTGTATTGTAGGGGCTTTTTGGTAGATAAAAAGAGGGGGTTTAATTGTTAGGGGCTATGTTAATATATTTAAAGCTCTTCTATGCAATGTGACTCATCACGTGCACCTGCACCTGCTGATTGATTGATTGTATTGGATCTTCACAAATTGAACACCTGACAACTTGATTTAATATTATACCAGTAAAAGAGAATGAGAGGAAATACTCAAAAGCAATCGGACCATTGGTATCTTGTGCGACTCAAGTTGTTAGTAAAAATATTGCTATCAGCCAGTCTCTTGGAGCACTTATGTTGCAATACTTGCTTACATATGTTGAGGATGAAAAAGAATAACACTAAATAGTATAACAATACAGCAATGGTCATTCCATGCCCATGGGTCATTCTTAACTTCAGCATAGGGCAGGGCTTGCAGGCTTAAACTTCTTAGATAGGGTTTCCCGAATAAAGACTACAAACAGATTGTTTGGATGTTCTAGAATTGAGATGAAGGCTTTATAATTTTGAATAATATATATTTAGGAATATGCGTGACAGTTAACAAACAATCTTTGGTTCTTTTAAACTTTTGGGGAAATGTATGGAGTGGGTTTTTGGCTGTTGGACCAGGTGTGCTATAAAGGTATGCTTGTTTTTCATAGTGAATAATTGAAACTGAAAATAAGTCTAAGGTTCAATTTGTGTAATGGTTTAGGATGTCAGAAACAAATTGGCAATGGTAAAGAAACTTCAGGTTTTATTAAGAGAATGGCATGGAAGGCATATGTTTGGAATCGCTTACCACATTCCAGGTCTTCATTGGAGTTTTAATTTGTTAGTTGATCAAATTTACAGTGGTATTGGTAAAACATGTCAGGTGGTGTTAAAGGGAAGTAGTCTAGCATGCGTTGTAGAGGACCGTTAAAAGTTCATGTGCTTCCTTGGCATGAGGCATGAGGCGTGGTCTCTAAGGGACCTTATGTCTAGGTGGCAAGCTCTGAATAATTTTAGGAGACTCTTAGGAACCCATGAATCACTACAAGAAAAGTAAGATTTAACGGCGTTGATTTGACGGCGTTTTAAAAAGCGCCTCTATTTCTAATATTTTATGGCGTTTTCTTAAACGTCGCATTTTTATTGACCAATACAGCACCGTTTTAACTTCCGAAAACGCCTTCAAATGTTTTTCTCTTTTTTCTTTTTTTTTAATGTAAATTTAAATAGCCTATTCTCTCTCTCTCTCTCTCTCTCTTTCTCTCTTTCTCTCTTTCGCTCTCACTGTACCCTTGATTTCACTCTCTCTTGCTTCACCCCCTTTCGTTTCTCTCGATTCAAACCCCTTCATTTATTAATCGATTAATCTGCAACCCTTCTCTTCAAGTATTCGATTCACCCCTTCGTTTATTCGATCACATTAGCACTGTTTCAATATCAAGGAACTTATCATTGTTACTTCTTGGAATTATTGTTAGATGAATTTGATTCTTGGTGGTGGTGGTGGTGGTGGTTGAATTATTGAAACTTTCTAATATGCTATTACTGTTCTGTTCACCATTGCATTTGGCTTTTGGAAATCAGCTCATTGAAAGAAAATCAGGGAGGTAAACTATTTGTCGTAGCATTTGAGTTCACTGTTGGATGCATTGTCTAATCTGATGACTTACAGGTTGACCGATCCACAGCTGGAATTGTGACACCAACAAATAACTAATACTACGATAAATATTAGTTTGGAAATATGTAAAACTTAATTGTTGCTATTTTAATTCAGTAGATTGTGAGTTGATGGAATTTCTAGGTTGATTATTGATCTTTGAGCTAGTAATTCCAACTGCTAGAGGACCAGGGAATTTAATGGGATAACTAATTTGCGATATGGTTAAGTATTTAAAATGATTGAAGATAACAGTATTACTAACCTCGATTGGTTAAAAATGTTTTAGCATATAGTATTACTAACCTCTACACCAAGGTCACATAGACCAACTACAGTCATTGCCGTGATATTACACAAGGTTCTGAATGAGGTAATCTCTAAACATCTAATCACATTTTAGCTAACATCTAATGTTCTTTGCGTCTTTGTATGAAAAAAAGAAAAAGAAAGTGAAGTATAGGTTCCTTGTTTGTGGAACTGTCGTTGATTGTTTGTGGAACTGTCGTTGATTGTGGAATTGTCGTTGATTGTTTGTGGAACTGTCGTTGAATGCATTGGTTATTATTGATATTGGAAATTTCCTAGGTCCTTATGCAACACTCATCTGGTAGTGATTGACTGAATGAAACGTACATCGATTACATTTTTTTCCCCCTTCTTTTTTGCCCATAGTGGTCCTCATTTTGATTGGGTGTGAAACATTTAATTGAATGTGAATATTGGTGGTTGCTTGTGTTAATTAGTTATGCTCTTATAGTGAAGTCAAAATGTAAAATAAACCCTTAGAGCATCTATGTATAATCATTCTAGTATTTGGAAGGAGAGGCATAATTTATATTTTCATTGTTCAGAAATCTGAATTTGGGTTTAAAGATCTGCGAAAAGTATTGGGGCTGAATGTGCTGGTTTGTTTCCCTTTGAAAAAATGTTCTTATAAACAATAATTTATTTGTATTTCTTTAAAAGTTTATTCAATCTCTTTTTTCTGTTTTATAAGTTAGACTTGGTCTAGCTTAATTGTGGTCGTTTTCCCTTTCCATTTCAGTAAATGTGTATGTTCCCAAAGATAGAGTCACCAATCTTCATCAAGGATATGGCTTTGTGGAATTCCGAAGCGAGGACGATGCAGATTATGTAAGCTATTCTTCATTGCTCGTCTCATTGGTTATGCTTTTTGTACTTTCTTTAATGTTCATCAGTTTTGCTCTTTGTATTTATTTTACTGTTCTCTTGAGTTTTGTTTTCCCGACTTGCTGGTGGCTGTATGATTAGTTCTTTTTTTTAATTTTATTTATCTATTATTTTTTAAATCCACAATGCAGGCAATAAAAGTTCTGAATATGATTAAACTTTACGGGAAGCCAATAAGAGTGAATAAAGTGTGAATGTTTATCCTTGTCATGCATCATTTTCTGTTTCTTTATGCTTATGCTTAGGATATTGCCACCGGAGCCATCATTAATGATTTCATGGTTTGACTTCCAGAGCCTTTGTTTGAATTAGATTTAAAATCTGATCAATAGTTTTATCTTGTTGTTTTTGGGTTCCAGGCGTCTCAAGATAAAAAGAGCTTGGATGTTGGAGCTAACCTTTTGTGGGAAACCTTGATCCTGTAAGAAATTTGATGCACTCAAATGTATTTTCATGCCTTGTAAACTTCTATATGCCTATGACACAGTTTTTCAATTTCAAACCTGGCTCTGATTTTCTTTGCAGGATGTGGATGAGAAACTTTTCTATGATACTTTCACTGCATTTGGAGTCATTGTTACAAATCCCAAGGTCAAACTTCTTTTCTCTTGCTCCCGTATAGTTGTGTTGTTTGTTTCTTATTGATTTGTGTCTCCCTTTTCTGTTGTTTACCATAGTAGATTTTATGCTTCTTGAGGATTGGCTTGATGTTGATTCAAGGTCTAATAGTAGTGCGCCAAATGACAAAGAGGAAAGTGGTTTTATTTATTTGAACCATTATACTGAAATTCATTTATCTTTGCTTGTGACATTACACATTGGCTTCTTCCTGTTGGTATAAATTATTAACTTTAAACTTATTCTATTTCCTACTTTGAGCATTCTACTTTGCTCTTCTTGGTTGCTTGCATTCTCTACCAGGAACCGGACAAACCTATTATGATTTCCTTGAGATTCACTTGAGGAAACCCCTGCTTAATATCTACCTGCGTGGTTAGGCTCAAGGGATTCCCCTTTTTCCCATGAAGCATCAGTGTGTTTTAAGTGCATAGTCGATAGAGCTTTGTATTCCTTAATACTCAAATGGCATATCAAATGCTTAATGATATAAACAATATCAATTTTGTAACACAAGCATTGTTAGAAGATAAAAACTGGCAGCAGCTTCCTCTTTAACTTTCCCTTTTTCAGAAGGTTAAATGACATGAATCACCTAATTGACAGTCGTGTATAGGAATATGAATGGTTCCAAGGTCTCTGAAAATTGGCTACTCTAATTAACAGTCTTGTATAGGAACCGATGGTAGTTTGCCTCCATAGATCTCTGGGAGTTGGCTCTCATCAATGTCAGCAAGCAGAGTTGATTTCAGCTTTTTATCCTCCACAAAAACTATCTGCACAGATGTGTTTAAACATTAGTAACACAATCAACCAGTGATAAAAATACAGTTAATAACTTTCAAGTGTTCTAGCTCTCTCCTACTTCATTTCTTTCATGCAAAAGATTTTCATTCATTGTTATTTTTTTTTTAATATTTAATTATCATATATTTTTCTGCTTTGATTTAAATGACCAGAGAAAAAGTTAGCTCATGGTCTTTATATAAAACATGCCTAATTCATATTGCTCCAACTTTAATCATGCCAAACACAAATGCAATGCACGACTCTATTTCTATTTTTATTTCTATTCAAAAAGGACAAGGACACGAGAATTAAGTGGTAGAGACCATTATCCCAGCCCAAATTCAAGTTGATATTTGATAAGAATGTATATTACAAACAAGTCATGCAAGGATTTTTTTTTATATTTAAAGATACCTTCTTTTTTGTTTTCTTGTCGATAAATGGATAGACAGCCTTCCATGCCGTCATAAATACATATGGCACATGGACTACAAATAACTTGCCTAGCCTCTCTGGGTAACAATCCTGTCATTGAAACAATCAAATTAGAACTTACAAGCTTTTCTAAGTTTCTAGAGCAACTCTATATTTATACTGCCATTGTGGCATCCCTTCCCACTACTTGGATGTTGGATTCAATATGCACATCTCAAAGAAAATTTTCATCAAATAAGAGTGAGTTTGTGCAGTCAACTAAAGGCTGGAGTGTTTCTGAGTCTTCACTTGACTGAGGGACTAAGTGAATACATTAATTTCACATATTCGCTTATGAAATACAATGCGGTGAGAGCTTAAACCTGTAAGATTGATAGAGATGCCAGGTATCCTCGAACGTCGCTGTTAGTGTATCCCCATCCCTTAAAGTCTCCAATACAAACGAATTTTTCCTGTCCGCTTGGCATTCTAAAAGATCAAGGTGATATCAAGATCGATCAATTACCAACATAAATGTCCCCAATATAAGAAAAAAATGAACTTATCCTTAGTATGTTACACGGAAAATGATGAGTAACCTATTTTTGCTTGCAATAAAAGAAAACAAATTTTCAAAATGGTTGTAGTAAATCACTCTACCATCTAGTGTAGAGGAGAAGAAGAGCCATCTTCTCTAGTCAACTACTCAAATAGTTGGGGCGAATTAGGGAAAATGGCCTTCATTTCTGATTTGAATTGCAATTTGTTTCAAGAACAAATCTTCATTCATCTTATTATTATGCATCAATTAAATCCCTTATCCACAACTCAAGTGCAATGATATGCCCTTCACTTAACAAGTTGATGCCCTCCTTTTTGAATATTCATTATCCCTAGAGAGAAATGAGCCTCAGGAATCAAATTTACTTATAGACATTCATTTCTGATTTGAATTGCAATTTGTTTCAAGAACAAATCCTCATTCATCTTATTGTTATGCATCAATTAAATCCCTTATCCACAACTCAAGTGCAATGATATGCCCTTCACTTAACAAGTTGATGCCCTCCTTTTTGAATATTCATTATCCCTAGAGAGAAATGAGCCTCAGGAATCAAATTTACTATGACCAACCAAGAAGGGCTGACCTGATACTCATTATCCCTACCAAGAAGGGCTGAGCCTCAGGAATATTCATTATCCCTACTTTGAGCAACCAAGAAGGGCTGACCTGATACACTATGACCAGTAGTTTGTTTGTCATATGAAAGGTGGAAGTCGAAAAATTGTCAACACTTGGAATTTTAGCAATGCTACTCAGTCTAAGTTGGTTCAAGTTACATCGTAATTGAATTTAATTTTTCGAAGTTAGTATTCATCTTGCTAACCTACAGCAGAGCATAGAAGAAGCTTATAAAATTAAAAGCTATGGCTATGTGCTTAGAGAATCAGCTTAGGTCTTTTATGGCCTGTATGCATATAACTATTGAACCATCACCGCTCTAGCAGAATTTTTTATATTAGTATATAAAATAATTCTGTGCTGAGAAGATTGTATTATCATTCCTGAATATTTCGAATTTTAGATAACAATCTTAGTGGCTGCTGAAGAACTACATGAGCTGGCCACTATCAATGGCTGTGGAGACTTGAAGGAAGCCTTGCAAAAGCTACCTTCTTTCCCTTCAAGAAGAACACTAGTAAGAATAAAAATAATCCCTGACTAAAAACCTCTGGATTATGTTTCTTCCATGTCTAGCAAGGAATTGGTATTGTTTTCATGAAACTTTAATGGCCCTGTTTCATTTACTAATCACCATTTTTTTTAGTTAACCATCCAACAGACATTTAACTAATAATCTTTAAAGTATCTTTCTCACAAATCATTAATTTTTATATCTTTAATAAAAGCAGGTTGGTTCCTAAAAAAATCATTAATTACACGAAGCCATGAACATATTGAATTGTAACTATTAGTGTGTTGATTGTTTCATCAGGTTTTGTTTTGTTTTATTTTTTTTTTCCTATTGTCGTTATTATACCAGTAATAAATTGTTGGGATCTTGCAGTGTTCACGCTTACATTGTCTTCGAAATAGAGCAAGCTGCCCAGGCTTCTTTGGCCCATAATATGGCTGCGGTATGTTGCTCTTTTGACAGTTAATCAACATGATTCTGGGTACAATTGGATATTTTGCTAGGAGAATGTTTTAGCTGCATTTGTAATGGGTTTGTTGATCTAGGTTGGAGGAAATCACATCCGTGTTGACAGGGCATGCCCACCTCGCAAGAAACTAAAGGGAGACAATGCTCCACTCTATGATAACAAGAGGATGGTTTTTGTGGGTAATCTCCCATTTGATGTGAATGTGAATTGCTCTTCTTTTTCTTCTTATTCTCTCTCTCTCGCTCTGGGTATTTTGCAGAATGCAGGCTGCCTATTTGCTTCTCATGTTGCAAAATGACACGTCTCTTCCATATAAGTGCAAAATGACGGTATTTACTGCTGCAAAATTTGAAATTTTCAGAAAAATAATTTAAGGGCAAATAACTCATCATTTTTTTTATCACTTTATTTAATTGCTTGGTTTTGCATTTATATATAGGATAAATCAGCAGATGTTCGTAAAGCAACTGAAGTATGCATTGGTGAAATTTTCAGAGTTTCTAGGATAATTAAGTTTGATAAACAAGGTTGTATTGGTGATTCCTAGGACTGCAGTGATCAATCTCACTTCTCTACATGAAACTAATTGTTTTATTTTTTTTGGAGTGACATAATTTTGGGCCATCATTGAAAAGTGGATCAAAAGTTGGGAAATCTAGCTCTAATGGTAATGGTGACCGACGGGCTGGAAATAGGGCTGTTTCTTCGGTATGTTCTTACCCTGTTTAAGTTATTTTCTTTTTGAACAATAATAAAGATATTGATTTTTTTCATGGTTTGGGTAGAGAGTAACTTCAACAAAGGGTTCAAGGCCAGAATCAATCATGTCTGTTCACGAACTAGACGACCATCCTCCCCAACATATTTCTAAACAAGTTCACGAAGTTAAATTGTACAAGACTACTTGGCAGTATGAGCATTTTTGGGAGGATTAAATATTTTTGGATGGATGTGTATGGATAACAAATATTATTAGTTTTATTTGTTGATAGCTGTGCATGGATAACAAATAGTTATGTTTCAAATTGTTATGCTAGATGGATGTGACTTGTGAATGAAAACTTAGAATAGTTGTATTGTGTCAAATGTTAATGAATTATGTATTGTGTCGAATGTTAATGATTCAGTTAACTTGAATGATGCTTTAAAATTATAGGTTTGTTATGGATTGAATGAACTATTAGGAATTACAGGTGTATTGTTTTCCTGCTTTGGCGACCAATTTATTAGTCGCGGCATCCAAAATAAATTTTTTTCGCAAAAAATGATAATTGCCGACCAAGAGTTTTGGTCGCAAAAAATACATCTATTGCCGACCAAAACAGCTATTGGTCGTGGAAACTCACTTTTGCCAACCAAAAGTTTTGGTCGCGAAAAGTAACAAATGGCGACCAAATTTTTTGGTCGCGAAATGTGATAATTGGGGACCAAAAAATTTGGTCGCGAAATGTGATAATTGGCGACCAAACTTTTTGGTCGCGGAATGTGACAATTGGCGACTAAGAAATTTGGTCGGAAAATATCACTTTTCGCGACCAAAGGGTTTTAGCGACAAAATAAATTAGTCGCGGTAATTAAATATTTAGCGACCAAAAATTTAGTCGGCAAATCCAACTTTTGCCGACCAACGAAAATTTTGGTCGCGAATTACTTTTGCCGACCCTCAATTGGCGACCAAAATAGCGACCAAAAATTTTGGTCGCGGATAACTTTTGCCGACCAAAAATAGACTTTTAGCGACCAATTTTTTTGTTGCTAAAAGTGTTAATTCTTGTAGTGTCGTAGTCAATATTGTACTCTAGAATTGACAATACTATAGTCATTTACAGTTAATATTGAACAGGAACATCTCCCCTTGACATTACGTTGAAGTTGTGAAAAACTAAAAGCTGTTGCCATAGGTTCTCTGCTTGAACTCTTTAAATTCTCATCCATTAGTAATCTGTTTAATGATTCTTGTATACAAATTTATTGTCATCAATATAATGTTAGAGTTGATGTGCAAAAGTATGAAAAACTTAGATTAGGGTTAAAGAGAAAGAGAGAGAATAATAAGAAGCAGCAACTTTGTTATTCAACATCTATTTTTAGGACTGAAGCATTAGAAATATTGTTAGAATATAGGATGTTCGAATATAGAAATATTTCCTATTTCGTATCTTTATGCCTTAGAATGCTCCTGTAATTATGCCAATGAGTTAATATAAAAGAAGGTGAGATATCACTCATACCTCTAACTCTTCTCTTCTCTAAATTTATATCAGAGCCACAATAAGAAGAACCCTTAGTTGCACGAAGCGGGAGCGGGGGCGGAAGCGGGAGCGGGGAAGCGTGAGCTGATAGAAGTTTCTTAGGTTGGGAGCGCTTCATCTAGGGGTCGGATACTTCAAAATAAAAAATTGAAAATACATAAATATGGATCCAAATTTGGATACGAGTACGGGAATACGGTAAATAGTTATTTTTTAAATATATTTATTATATAAAGATGAGTTAAATAGTTATTTTTAAATATATTTATTATTTTTATCTTATGTATTATTTTTATTGATAATATTTTTAATTTATTTATATAATTTATTTTTTTTATTTTTAATTGATATATATATTATAAATAAAAAAAATATAACAAATAAAGAATAACAAAATATGTTAAAATAAATAAAAAATAAATTTTGGATGATTTATTTTATAGATTTTTATAGATTTTTTTTTATTATTATATATGATTTAATTAGATTTATTATTATATAACAAATTATATTATTTATTATATGTTAAAAACGGGATCAGTTCAGTACTTTAATCAGTTCAATTATCAGTCAGTTATCAGTCCCATTTAGCAGTAATCGGTAATCAATCAGTCATTAATCAGTAATTAGTATGAGGGTTGTTACAGAGAGAGAGAGAGAGAGAGAGAGAGAAGAAGAAGAAGAAGAAGAAGAAGAAGAAGACGAAGACGACGACAACGAAGAAGAAGAAGAAGACAATGACGATGAGATGCTGAAGAAGAGAAGACAGAGAGACAGAAGAGGAGATCGAGAGAGATGAAGAAAGAGAGTGAAGAGGAGATCGTGACCAGATCAAAGGCAATGTAACAGAGATCGAAGGCTATGTAACAGATCGAAGACGTGTCCGAGAAACCCATGCCCTAAACCAGCGAATCCATGAAACAGATTGACGGCGAGACCAGGTTTCTCTCTCTCTCTCTCATTTACGATCCCATCGTTGACTGAATCGCGTTTCTCTCTCCACAGAAATGCGATTCTTACACGTTTTTTTTTAGGAAACGCGGAATCGCGATTCTTACTAGGAATTGCCACCTGGTTGCACGATTCCTGCAACTAAGGAAGAACCTACCACATTGCTTCTACCGAAGGCCATCTATACCCAAACCCTAGCCTGCGCAGGTCATTCATCACCTTGTCTGAATTCGTCGCACCCCACCTAGCGTAGCCGCAGGTCAGGCGACTCTCCTATGGTAGTCGCAGCCTCTGTCGATAGCCGTAGCCTGCTCTTCTAGGCCTGTCGGTAGCACCTGGTTGGTCGCCTAGTGCTGGTTGATCGATTAGTGCTCTCGTGGCCCTATGGTTGGTCTTTGTCTTCTTTCTTTCGTCTCTCTTTATTCTCTAATTGTCTCTTGTCTCCGTTTTCTTCAAACAGACCCCCCCAAAAAAAAATGCAGTGAAAAAAAAAATTATGATTTTCTAGTTACTATTGTGCTTGTTCCTTTACCATCTTCCGAGTTTGTGATTGGTCTTGAGTTTTGAGGGTTGCTTAGTAAAACATTCATGACCGATTTCACTAGTGAGTCAATAACTTCTCAGCCACTTAAGAGCGAGAGTTCCGTTATACCTTCTACTATGACTAATAATCCCAACCCTGGCTTTAAAATCACCACTTCTCCATTCAATGGTCAGAACTATCTAGTGTGGCCTCAAAATCTGACTATTTTCTTGAAGAGCAGAGGGAAGATAGGGTATATTGATGGCAAGATACAGGCACCCACCACTATGGACCCGAGTTATGATCAGTGGGAGATCACTAACTCCCTCATTATGGGTTGGTTGGTTGGTACATTCTATGGTCCCGAAGATCGGAGAGCGCTATCTCTCTATGGACACTGCCCAGTATATTTGGGAGGCCGTGGCTACCACTTACTTCCCGAAGGGGAACTTCTCCCCAAGCGTTTGAGTTTTGTCGCTCCATTGAAAGGTCTGTACAAGATGAGATGACTATCCTTCAATATTTTACCTTCCTTAACAATGGGTGGAAGTGACTTGATCACCTTCAAGATTACAAACTGTCTGTCCCATTGATTCTGTTGGTTATCGGAAGTTTGTGGCACAAGAGCGGGTCTTTAAGTTCTTGGAAGGTCTCAATGTGGAGTATGATCTGGTTCGGAGCAGAGTCCTTGGCATGGATGTGCTTCCTTCTTTTCAAAAAGCCTTTGCGTTTGTGCAAAATGAGGAGAGTCACTGTTCTGTTATGCTTCCGACTACCTCTTCTAACCGATCTACCCTAATTTCTGCACCCTCTAGAGATGGGGATCGTGGTTCCCGTCCTCCTTCTGAGAAGGATATACTTTTTTGTGACTACTGTCGTTGCCCTCGCCACATCCATGAGACTTGTTGGAAGTTGCATG